ACTTATATGCGGGCAAAGGAGGAGAATATACACTGATAAAAGGACCAATTCATCAAGAATATATGTATACACACTTCACAAAGTCCCACAATACATGAAGCAAAAAAAAAATTGACAAAAAGGGAGAAACAGACAGTTATACACCAATAGTTGAAGGTTTCTATACTTCACTTTCATTAATGAAAAAAACAAGAAGATTAATAAGGAAACAGAATGTGAACAATACTATAAACCAACTAGACATAACAGATATATATAAAATACTCTCTCTAAAACAGCAAAATATATATTTTCCTCAAGTACATATGGGACATTCGTTAGTACAGACCATATGTTGGGCCACAGAACAAACCTCAATAAATTTTAGAAACTGAAATCATACAAAGTATCTCCTCTGACCAAAATGGAATGAAGTTAGAAATCAAGAAATGGAAAAGCAAAAAATCTACATATCTGTGGAAATTAAACAACATACTCAATGGTTCAAAGAACAATTCACAAGAAAAATTGGTAATACTTTGAGAGGAATGAAAATAAAAATATAACATACCAAAATTTAGAGAATGCCTAAAAAGTAAGAGTTTCGGGGTGATTTTATAGTTGTTAACACCCACATTACAAAAAAAACACCCTCAAATTGATAATTTAATATTTCACCTTAAGAAACTAAAGAGAAGAGCAAACTAATCCCAAAGCAAGAATATGCCAGGAAATAATAAAGTAAAGATGAACAAACTAGAGACCAGAAAAGCAGTAAGAAAATCAACAAAATGAGAGGTTGGTTCTTTAAAAAGAGCAACAAAACTGACAAATGTTTACTCACACTAAGAAAAAAGAAAAAGCAATTAACTATAATCATAAATGAAAGTGAGAACATTACTACCAAATTTACAGGAACAGAAGGATTACAAAGGAATGTTATGAGCAAGTATATACCAGCAAATCAGATGAAACGAAGTTCCTAGAAACACACATTACCAAAACTAACTCAAGAAACAAAATATGAACAGACACATAATACAGAAAGTAAATCAATTATCAAAATCTAAAAAGCTCAGGATAAGATGGCTTTAGTGGCCAATTCTTTCAATAATTTAATTAAGAATTAACACCAATCCTGCCCTGGCTGGTGTGGCTCAGTGGACTGAGTGCTGGCCTGTGAACAAAAGATTCGCCAGTTCGATTCCCAGTCAGGGCACAGCCTAGGTTGTGGGCCAGGTTCCCCAGTAGGGGATGGGTGAGAGGCAACCACACATTGATGTTTCTCTTCCTCTCTTTCTCTCTCCCTTCCCCTCTCTAAAAATAAATAAAATCTCAAAAAAAAAAAAATCCTTCTCAAACTCTTCCAAAAAACAGAAGAGGGAAAAACACTTCCTAATTCATTCTGAGACATTACCTTGATGCCAAATTCATACAGACAGCTTAAGAAAAAAACAATAACAACAAGAAAACCCTACACAGCAATAACCCTTATGAATACAGATGTCAAAATTCTCAGCAAAATGATCCCAATAGCATAGTAAAAGGATTATTCATTATGACCAAGTAGGATTTGATCCCAGAAATGCAAGGGTGGCTCATAACAGAAAAATTAATCAATTTAATGTGCCACATTAACTGAATCAAGGAAAAACAAACACTATCATCTCAACTGATACAGAAATGCATGTAACAAAATCCAACAACTTTTTATAATAAAAACACTTAAATTAAGAGAATGTATGAGGTGAAAAATTCATCTTAATGTAAAGAGAGGTCTGGCTTTTGCTTCTGCTGTCAGTTATAGGTGATCTCCAGGCTGCTGCAATGTCCTGGCCGACAGCAGTGTTCTTGCCTGGAATTCTGGCCACAGAACAGTTCGCAATGTGAGGGACTAAAGGTATTAGTGTAAACCTTAGGAAGGGTGGGAGACTAAAGGCCAGTTACCATGTAGGTAGTATGTGACTGAATAGCAAGAAAAACTTTGGATACTGAAGGCTTGGGTGAATTTTCCTGGTTGGCAATTCTCTGTATTTTAAACTTTATAAGGAGAGAATGACTGAGTGAAATCTCCATGTCTGGACTTCTTTCAGACTCAGCCCAATGCATCACCTTCTTTGGGCCATTCTAATTTGTATTCTTTTGCTACAGTAACACAGTAATAATAAGTATAATGCTTTTTAAAGTTCTGAGTCATTCTAGTGAATTATTAAAACTGAGAGTGGTTGTGGGGACCCCAAATTTGCAGCCAGCTGATATGATATGTATGAGATTGGTCTTGGGATCCTTGCAGTTGGTATCTGAAGTGAGGGCAATCTTATGGGTTTGTATTCCCTAACTGTACAATGAGGCTAATTCCAAAGCAAAATGAAATTTCCTCAAACAGATAAAGAGCAGTTAGGAAAACCCCACAGCTATTATTATACTTAATGGTAAAAACAAAACAAAATTATACTAAACTGGAAGCCTTTCCCCTAAGATCAAGAACAGGACAAAGATACCACTTTCACCACTTCTATTCAATATTTTGCTGGATGTTTTAGAGCAACTAGGCAAAAAAAGAAACAAGAGGTACCTACATTGGAAAGAAAAGAGTCAAACTATTGAGCAAATGAGATAATCTTACAAAGAGAAAATTGTAAAAAACAAAAACCTTAACCCTATTAGAACGGACTGAGCAAAGCTGCATGATATAACATCAACACACACAAATCAGTTTTGTTTCTATACACTCGCAATGAACGAGCTGAAAAGAAAATTAACAATATACTTTCATTTATAATGGCTTCCAAAAGAATAAAATACCTGGGGAAAAATTAACTAATGAAGTAAAGACTTACACATTGAAAAGTATAAAACATTGCTGAAAAAAATTACACATGATCTATGTTATAGACTGCACTGTGTGTCTCCCCACCCCCATTTTTTTATGTGGAAGCCCTAATCTCTAATGGGGCTATCTATATTTAGATACAGGGCCCTTGTGGCAGTAATTAAGGTTAAACAAGGTCATATGAGTGGGACCCTAATCCAGAATAACAGGTGTCTTAGTAAAAGATACGAGAGCCTGTGCATGCACAGGTCACTCCCTTCCCTCCCTGTTACAAGCCGGAAAGATAGGTCTCACCTTCCTTTTTGCTGGTCCTGAACTTCTAATCTCCAAAACTGCAAAAAAAATAACTCTCTGTTGTTTAAGGTATCCATTCTATAGTACTTTGTTATAGAGCCCAAGTAGACTAATGTAATCAAAGTAAATGGAAAGACATCCTGTGTTCATGAGTTAGAATACTAAATATGGCTGAGATGGCTAAACTATCCAATCTACAGATTCAAGAAAATACTAAAATTCCATTAACTTTTCTGTAGAAATGGAAAAGCTGATACTCAAATTCATACAAAATCACAAGGGGTCCTAGATAGTGAAAATGATGTTGAAAAAAAAATTAAGGGACTCACACTTCCCCATTTCAAAATTTACTACAAAGCCACAATGTTCAAAATAATGTGGTACTGATATTAAGGGTAGACATACAGATCAACGAACAGAACTAGGAGTCTGGAAATAAAATGATATATGGTCACTTTTCCACAAGGGGGACAAGAACATTCAATTGGGAAACAATACTCTCTTTAATAAAAATAGTGCTGGAACAACTGGATTTCCACAAGCAAAAGAAGCTAGATCCTTACCTTACACCATATACAAAAATTAAACTCAAAAAGATGTAAACATAAGAGCTAAAACCATAAAACTCTGAGAAGAAAACATAAGTGTAAATCTTTTAAAAATGTATTTTATTTGATTTTAGAGAAAGGAGAGGGGAGGCACAAAGACAGGGTGAGAAACATTGATATGAGACAGACACATCAACTGGTTACCTCCCATATGCACCCCAGGGGACTGAGCCTGCAACCCAGGCATGTGCCCTGACCAAGAATTGAACCGGCAACCTCTTGGTTCACAGGATGATGCCTGACCAACTGAGCCACAAGTATAAATCTTAATGACTCTGGATTTGACAATGAATTCTTGTATATGAAACCAAAATAATAAAACCAAAGACAAAAAGAGATAAACTGAATTTCATGAAAATTAAAAACTTCTGTGCAAAGAATATCAAAAAAGTGAAAAGACAACATACAAAATGGGAGAAAATATTTACAAATCACATATCTGATGAGGGACGAGTATCTGTAACTTAACAATAAAAAGGCAAACCATGTAATTAAAGAATGAGCCAAGGGCTTAAATAGAAACTTCTCCCAAAAGATAATGCACATGCCCAACAAACATATAAAAAGATGTTGAACATTAGTCAAGAGGAAAATGCAAATCGAAACCACAATGAGATACCATTCACTACGATGGCCTGAATAAAAGTCAGTAAGTACCAACAGAGATTTAGAGAAACTGTATTCCCAGTCATAAATTGTTACTAGGAATGTAAAATGGTGTAGCCACTGTGGAAAACAGTTTGGTGGTTCCTCAGAAAGTTAAAAATAGAATTATCATATGAACCAGCAATTCCACTCTTAGGTAGATACCCAAAAGAATTGGGTAATAAAAAAAAACTCAAACTCAAAAATAAAAACGCAAACAAATACTTGTACATGAATGTTCATAGCAGCATTATCCACAATGCTAAAATTTAGAAATGATCGATGCTATAATGTGGACAAAGTTGAAAACATTATGTTCAGTTAGAGAAGCCAAACACAAAGTTCACGTAATTATGATTCCCAGTATATAAAATCCAGAAGAGGTAAGTCCATAGAAACAGAAAGATTGGTACAATGCCAGGGGGTGGGGTAAAAGGGAATGAGGAGTGACTGCCTGAAGGGTATTAGGTTTTCTTTTGGAACAATGAGAATATTTGAAATTTGATATTGGTGGTAGTTGCACATTTTGTGAATGTACTAAATGTCATTGAATTGTACACTTTAAAATGGTTAATTTTATGTTAGATGAATTTCATCTCAATGATTAAAAAGAGATTATGATGATGGGTTTTTCTACTAACCCGATGAATGATTCCAGCAGAGTGAAGGTGCTTGATTCCACACAGCATCTGATAGAGAAGGTAGGACATTCTTTCATGATCTAGTTCCATCTGAATCACTTGGCAAAGATTTGCATCCATAAGCTCCATGACTATGTAACTTCATGGGTGAAAAAAGATGACAGCTAAAGTATACGGCAACAATGTAAAAATAAAGTACTAATATAAAATTTTAATTATGACACTTACACATCTTGAAATTCTTCTAGGGATTTCTGTGGTGTGAAAACATTCAAAAGGCCAATTATCTGTGGCAAAAGCAGAGAAATTAAAAAAATTACAAACTGCTTGATAACAGTTTCATTTACAAACTGCAAATACATGGATTAAAAAAGATCCATGATCCATTTAAAATTGTTCTAATCTTATTATCTAAGTTTAAGTAATCTCTTTTATATATTAAAATTTTATGGCTAGGGGTAGGGGTTGGGAGGGAACCAGAACAGAGGATCTTTAGGGCAGAGAAAACACTCTGTGTGATACAATAATAGTAGACATCTCATTATATACTTGTCCAAACCCATAGAATGTACAACACCAAGAGTGAACCATAATGTAAACTATAGACTTTGGGTGCTATGGATGTGTTAGTTGTAAGATTACTGACAGTAACAAAGGTATCACTCTGGTAGGAGGTACTAAAAATGGGGGAGGCTGTATGTGTGGGCAAACATTATCATTTGTACCTGAACTCCTTACCATTCCAGAGTGCCTTCTCTTTTACAATAGAAAGCTCAGATTGATTTTTTTTTTTACTTTTTCAATACTTGCACTGTAATAAGTATTTTAAAGGATGTTATCCATTGTATTCTCAGTCTGAACTTCAACCTCTTCATTCCCTTTGCACTATACAGGTTAAGGATTCTAGTATCATAATTCACATAGTGACTTCTAAACACTATGTTCCCTAACAATGGTTTTCTGTAAAGCTAGCTACCATTTTACTGTCTTTAACAGGGTAAAAGAAAGATCTGATCATATTAGTCACCTCCTTAAAAACTTAATGCCAACAAATCCTATTTTTTTGTTGTTCAATTACAGTTGTCTGCATTTACCCCCAACCACCCCCCCTACCCCAGCCATTCCCACTTCCTGCCCCTGCTTCTACCCCCACCCCCCTGCCGGTTCTGTCCATGTGTCCTTTATAGTTGTTCCTGAAAACCCTTCCCTGTTCCCCCTATTATCCCCTCCCACCTCCCCTCTGGTTACTGTCAGATACTCCCTTGCAGAACATTCAAAGCCCTCAATGAGAAGACATCAACCCATTTTACCTCCCACTAGCTAGTCCTCTATTAAACTTGATACTATGGCCATACTAAATTTAATTTTTTTAAAAACTCTCAATACATTTAAACATACAGTTTCATATGACTGTTATTTACCTACTAAATTTACTTACCTTCAAGACAGACTTCTTTTGTAAAGTCTGACAACCCTTAGTCCTTGGCAGAGCTGAATATTCTCTCTACTTTGTCCCTATAGTGTCTTATATGTTATTATGATATTTAACACATTGTAGTATAGTCTCATTTTCACAATAACTTTGTCCCAACCATACCAAGATCCTTGTTAGAAAGAGCTGTGTCTTATTCCCTTTATAGCCTTGGCACAAAGAAAGATTATCTGACACACATTTTAAAATGTTTGCTGACAATTACACTCAGGGATAGGACATAAACTTCATTAGGGCAGAATCCATGTTATTCATCTAGGTATAAAGCTTTGCTTATAGAATGCATTCAAATATATGTTCAGTAAATAAATTGGGAAAACTTTCAGACCAGAAAGGGTAAAACATATTTAAGATAGGGGAAGTGATAATAAAAAACATTTACTGCTCTAAAGGAACTCAAGTGTCTTAACCAGTTAAACTGCATGCCTAGAAACTTGGAGAAATACTAAAACTGTTCATACTAACATATGGGAAGTCTTAGAGTAGAAGAGAGGTGTTAAAGATGAAAGAAATATAGACGGAAAGGAGACTAGTGGTTGCTTAGAGCTAAGAAGGGTGGAGATGGGGAAATGAGAGCTAAATGATATAGGGTTTCTTTCTGACATAATGGAAAAAGTCACATCAATGAATAAACTGAACACCACTGACTTGTTCAGAGGAAATGGATGAGTAGTATGCTATATAAAGTGCATATTAATAGAGCTATTACAAAGACACTAAAACAGCTGCCTGATTTTTCAAAAAGAAAATTACATAAATTATAAGCTAGAGCCAAACAAAAGTTAAAAACTGATATGATTTATGGGCAGCATATGACTACTATGAAAGAAGTAATAATTACTAGGAGCAGGAACAGGTAAAAATTCATTGAGAAACTTTATATTCTTTTGTGAATAAAAACAACAAAACAATACTAAATCAGAGAAATGCAACTAGATATATGAAGATTTCAAAAAAGCATTTAAAAAATTTCTCTGATAATCATCTCCATGTGAATAAGATGAAGAACTGGGGATACCTAGATAACTTTTAATTAGACATGCAATATTTGCAGTAGAGCCAAAGGTTGCTAATGAACTAATCCAGCTATTAAGAAGGCATCCTGAGCAGAACTGGAAGTAAAGTCAACAAGTGAAAAGTCAGAATGAAGAACAAAGCAATCCCTAACAGTCCAGGAAGAGAAACCAAGTTTTTCATGTAAAATTTAATAGGGAGAAACAGAAAGTCCTATATTTATTCTCCCAAACCAAACCAAACCAAACCAAACCAAACCAAACCAAACCAAACCAAACCAAACCAAACCAAACCAAACCAAAGAAGGATGGGAGAAACGCAATCTGTGAGCAGGCCTGTAACAAAGAGTAACTTGCTTAGGCAATGTAAGTCAAATAAGGGCCAGATTTTCAACCAGGATTATAATGTCCAGTCAAGAGAAAATGGAAAATGACATGTCTCAGCTCCTCTTGGAAGATTCAATTAGACATGCAGTGCTGTGTTCTAGGTGACATATTAAAAGTGTATTCAAAGATAAGTGACCAAGTCAAAAAGGAAACTCAAAACCACCTATGAAAAGAGTGGGAAATGCACAATCATATGAATGGCCTTAGTATCACTTAAAAATGGTTAACCACCTATGTTTTGTGATATGTGTATTTTACTGCAATAAAGAAAAAAGGCAGAGATGTTTAGGCCAATAAAGAAATGATCTGTATAGAACATGAAAACACTGATAAGGCAAGACATTACAAAACCATCCACCCATTACAGAGTGAAAATATTTACTTTTACATTTGTTCACTGAACAAATATGTGTTGAGCACCTAGTCTGTGCCAGCATTGTTCTAGGTGGCAAGGGTAGTGGCTGGATAGATCTGAGCTACCCCCGTTAGGAGTCTGTGAAACAAACTTTCCACACCTTCCATTTAGATGATGGAGCCATCGACTGTCCAGACTCAGGAAGTGCAGCTGCCCAGGCTGAGGAGGTGGGAGTCACTGGCCATCTTTCATATGAAACTAAGGCATTGCTGGCACCACCACCACTGCCATGAAACAGGCTGCAAAGGGCAGCACTAGTAGCTCTGAGTGCTGGAGGCCACCAGCAAAACCTGACAAGCAACATGCCTGGGTCCCACCTACCAGAAGATTGGCTGATACAACCTCCCCATCACTGACTGACTTGAAATTTTTTTAATTCTATTTTTCCTCTCTGGCAGGTCGCCTTTCTTCAGCAATCCAATTTTTACTCCGTTATTTAAGAATCAGTCTGGGTCCACCCTTTCTCAAAGCTTTTTCATTTTATTATATTGTACAGCAATCTTTTCTCTCTTGGAATCTAAGCACTTATTTCTCATTCACCATGGTTTGACAATTAAACTTCTATTAAACTTTATTATATTTGGTCTTTAACTCTTTGTATATTTGCTTTGTCTTCAAAATAACAGTGAACTCCCCAAATAAGGAGCCTAATCCTTAATTTCCATAAAATTTTCCCCCTAGTGACTAATCTAATTAACTCCAATACACAGAGGCTTTGTACTTCGTTAATTTTGAAAATGTGGTAAATTGTGTCATCTGCAATCAGAAAGTACTGAGCTGATGACATTTTATACACTCCTTTGGACAAAAACCACAAAACATCTCTAATCAGATACTTCCGGTTTAGTTGTTCATAAAAACGTTCCTTGCACAATTCACCCCCAGTTTATTTCCTCTCAACATGAAGATAACATTCTATTAAAATATTTGTAAAAGTATCATTATACTTAATGTAAGCTTTAAAAAGTGAAACCATTTATTCTCAAAATGAGTGAAAGTTATGTGGTTAAGTCCTTATAATTATTAGAAAACAACTGGAATGTTTTTCTAATTCCATTTAAATATGTTTTAAAGTTTTTGCTCAACTGCTTTATAGTTGCTGGTTATCCTCCACATGAAGTGACCAGTGAGCACTGAAATAGAATGAGAACAATCTACACTAAGGCTCATTTTCTGAAATGTCAGCATGACAGTAAACAAGTAAAAGATGAGATGAAGCCTAAAAACGTTCTTCTAAAACATCTCTTTCAAAGTCCTTTTACAAATATCAGAAAACCACACAATCAAAATTTCAGAAGCTGTTTTTCTTTTAATTTACTAAGGTTGAGAAAAAATTCACACTGTAGAGATATATAAACCTTTTAAACAATGTTTCAATCCAGAAGAACAATTTAAAACATCTCATGTTTTTGGCTTTTGATTTTCACATATGAACAAATCTATATATCATCTATACTTAAGAAATTTTCTAAAATGTTCACTTACATTTTTGTGATTAACACATTTCATAAGAACTAGCTCTCTGTAAGCCCGCTTAGCATGAGTTTGATTCTGAAATGGCCGGCTTAGCTTCTTGATTGCAACATTTCTTTCAAGAATGGCATCATAAGCGGCACTGTAATAAGAAATTAAAAACAACAAACAACTTAATAAAAAATCTGCAAAACTGAATTTATGAAACATTCATTCAGATTCCTTACTTTCTCCAAAGATAATGCAAGTGGATCGGTTTCCAGTCTTTGATGATCAAATGTTTCTTCTATACCTACTACAGCATACTCCACATAATGTATAATACTGTCTCTTCAAATGCTAATAGTTTCAAAGAGAAAATGGATTGTGACTGTGAAGAGAGACTACCTGTTCACTGGGTTCCTCCAAGATCCACCTAGACTACAAATAGGCACTCAATGCACACATTTTTTTTTTAAAGATCTTATTTATCTTTAGAGGGGAAGGGAAGGAGAGAGAGAGAGAAATATCAATGTATGCTTGCCTCTTATGCGTCCCCCACTGGGAACCGGCCTGCAACCCAGGCATGTGCCCTGCCTGGGAATTGAACCGCGATCCTTTGGTTCGCAGGCCCGTGCTCAATCCACTGAGCTATACCAGCCAGGGCAATGCACACATTTTTAGTAAGTATTCAGGTCCAAAAGACAGGTTAAAGCCTAAGTGAACCATTCACCCTGCATGTACACCAAGGAAAGATAGAATGAAGAATGTATGTGGTCATCAATTCTACTCAAAATATTTGCTGAAGAATTCTACTTAAGTACGTCACTTCCATGCTCTCTGGATGCCACATAAATACAGAAAGAAGAAAGGGGACATAGAGGTTATCTATACAAAAGATTATTTTACTATATAAAAAGCCCTTAAAATTTGTGTTAGAGAGGGAATTAAAAATGAAGGTGTTTATAGGCTGCTTTGTAATTGTTAATGAAATGCCTATAATTCTGGGGAATAAAACATCATACTTATTACTCTTCATATTTTCCTCTCCCATGACACTGACCAAATGGCATGTTACACATAGGACAGGTCAGAGAAACTAAAGCACAAATAAGGTAAAGTATCTTAAAATTATAAAATATTATATAGTTCAAAGAAACTTTAAAAATCATTTGGATTCACCACTGCCTGATATAAGGCCAGAGATTAAGCACTTTGCCCAAGGTTAGCCAGAAAGTTAAAAAGCAAAGATGAGACTAGACGACTAAGACATGAGGTCACACTCTTCACACTGGATCACCTAACATACTATAAAAGACTATTTCTGTTTATTTAATGTTCGAAAAGTCAACACATTATTGATTAAAATTATTCTCTTATCTAAATGGAAACTCGAGTTTGTTTTGTAGCCGTCTTACTATATCAAATATACTATAGAAATACATGTGTTAAGAAATGGGTACTGCATAAGTGAACACATCTATACATTCTATATATAGCATAACTATTGCTTATACATTTTTCAGGGTGGGTAAGAAGTAGGTTTATAGTTGTTCACAGGGAAAATAATTGATAAGTAATAATATGAGAATAAAGTCTGTACTTTCTGCTCTCACAACTGTAAACCTTTTTTGTCCCATCCTGTATATACATACCAAAATATACATAAGTATTATGATCTTTACTTAGAAAGATAATTTACACATTTACATATTTACAGATATGTCCCTCCTAAATGAAAAATTAAAAAATCAAACATTAAGGGTCATGCAAAATGTTTAGAAGTTTTGACTATTTCAGATGAAACATTTTATTTTTAAGCATTAAATTCATTCTTATTAATTTTTATCTGCTAAGTCAAAATAATATTTCAAACTCTGAAGTTCAAACATATCTGAGTAGGTTATACCATTTTATATCCAAGGAAATTAGATGTCTAGTTTTTGATTAGTAAATGTGTACAATCAGAAATATCTGGGAACTCAGAGTTCCTAATCCAGACCCAATGAATCATACTATCTATGACTGAAGCCCAAAATTATGTCTTTAAAAAAATACATTAATGTATTTTTCTTCAGTTGATTCGATAGTAACATAAGAGTGAGTTAAAATTTATTGAATATTTGTTTGTTTCATAGTAAACTTTTATTGAAGAATAAGCAAAACTTTGAAGACTCATAGATAAAGAGCAGAATGACAGCTAGAGTTGGGTGGGGACTGGATGGGGGTGGAGGGAGTGACCACAGAGAAAAAAGGACTTGTGGACATGGACAATAGTGTGGTGATTATGGGGGGTGGGGGAAGGAGGTATAAAGGGACTAAACTGTAATGGGAAAAAAACAGTAAAAATAGAAGTCTAAATCAACTGTTAAAAAAGAAACAGGCTTAGATGTACTAATTAGCTATTAGTCAGAAAGTTATTAAATCACAGACCTAGAATCTAAACTAAGAGCTGGCTTTCAGCATCCTTCCCATATTGACTTTATCACATTTTCTTTATCTTTAATTTGTAGTTGATTAACTATAGTTTGTTCAAATGACAACCAGCAAGCCAAAAATGCATTGTAAAATAACTGTTTCTATAATTTTTGACTATATTACTTCAAGAATACAGAGTTTACCCTTGTTACATATAGCTCTAGTTCATTTAAAATATTGTATACTATTTCACTGTACATATATACCATATTTTAAAAATTCTCCTATTGACTGATTTGATGCTGCTTTATAAACGATGCTGCAGAGAACAGTTCCATGTATTTCTCTTTGTGTATATGTGCAAGAGTTTTTCTAGAACTGAGAGAAACTTATTACTGAGAGTAATAAGCACATAATTTTTTAATAGATTCTGAAAGACATCTGGCTCAAGAACAGGTAATCGGTATAGTTGTGCTTGAATGAGGCTTAGAAACTTTCCCCAAACTCTAGCTTATTATGCTAAATTAGTGATTTAAAATCATTAGCAGAACAGTCCCCAAGAGTGTTTTTTGCCTTTCAGTTTGTAAGGAATTATGCTGATATATAAACTCTAGACCTTTTACAGAAATTAGTTTGTAAATACATTTTAAAAATATGTAAGAGTTTTGAAGCACACAAAGTTAGATGATATAGCTGACTTCAGTCCCCAGAGTAAAATAAGATTCTGAAATTCAGAGTTTCATTATAGTGTGAAAGTGATGATTAAGTAAAACTTCTTATTAAACAATCAACTATGGGAATAAATGTATACATGAAATTAATAAGTATCCCATTTATTTTTTCCTGGTACAGGTATTTGTTTCTACATGGTTTACAGCCAAGTATTTAATCATAATTTATACTTAAAGATGATTGTGCTGATTTATTGTTATGTTTTATGAATAATAAAAAGATCATTAATCCCTGATTAAAACAACTTACTGTGTTACAACTTTAATATAAATTTTATAGTTTTAATTATTTTTGAGACAAATTAAATATTTTCACCAAGATATCTATATTAAAAAAGGAGAAAATAGTAGCAGTTAAGAATTCTTTGCCTAATTTTTGGAAGTAAAAACTTACCATACTATTCCTTGAGCTCCTGAGCCTATAGGTTTTAAATTCTGATATCGTTTCAGGACTGTGAATGTAGAATCTCCAATTTCTACACTATAAAAATTGCTGTCCCGCTTACTTCTGCTCATGATGGCAAGCAATTAGTTTAATGGCTTCATCCAAAAATTCACTGAGAAGCTGCAAAATGGAACAAAAGGTATTGTTAACAAAATGAATTTGTGTAATCTTAAAATTCAAGTTCTCAGTTCACTAACGGTAACACCAACTGTTAGATTATGTTAAAAGGGCTGCTTCATTAAAAACACACACACACACAATTTGAAAAAGAAAACACAATTAGAAAGAAAAAAACATCACAGAGCCTGGTTAGCATTCTGCTATACTTAAGGAAACGACTAATAGTTTAAACACAAAACTTGTACAAGAATAAACAGTTTCTCCAATTTAGAAGTCCCTGGCATTAATATGCATACATGTCTCAACTTAACTGGAAAACTGGAAAAAACAGCAAATAATTATAATAAAACATATTTTCAAGGTCACTTCCACAGTATGAAATTTAAAACCAGTCCTTTTTGTGAGAGATTGAAAAACTTTCATTTGAAAATAATTCACAATCTCATTTAGAGTGACATGGGAGGAAAAACAAATTTATATTCCAGTAAGCTAGTTAATACATATCACTCCTATCTAACAAGCCCAGAGCAGCACAGTGTTCTCACTGTAACAGCCCTTGATCCCCAAAAGCAACATCTGGGAGTGATGTACATGTTGAAGTTGTAATGGTTGAAAGAGGTAGAAAAATAAGAAGACATACTATTATTTAAAAAATGAGAAAATATGAGAGAGTGAAAAGCATTTAGTATATCAGGATCAAAACAATACTGTTCTGAACTGTTTGGGGTATCAAAAGCATGATCTAAGTTCTCAGCATAGTTATTACCACCTGTCTGATTAAAAAGCCAAGGTAGTCTTTTTCTACCCTTTTGGGTACTGGTTATTAATAAAACTATTATCCATTCTTACTAGACAAAAGTGGCCTATTGCAAAAGGTATATAGCAAGATAGTTTCAACCCTATCCTTACATACCACAATAAACCAAGAAACTTGTTAGGTCTGAAGAGTGTGTGTGTGTGTGTGTGTGTGTGTGTGTGCGCGCGCGCACATGCAGCTGTAAGACAATGCTAATAAAACAAAAATAACATCCCGATAAGAGTTACAAGACAAAGAATTAATTAAACAAATACAAAGTGCCTACCATGTAGAAGCTCGTGAACTGAATTCCAATAGCCCAATTCTAAGAGAAGGGTAGAAGCCACAGAAAGTGGAGAACAAGAGAGTTGGAAGAGGAAAACTAATGAGCTACTGCAATAATTCAGATGAAAGAGAACATTACAATTAACAAGGGTTCTCAGGTGTGATGAAATTAAAAATAAACAAAAACTAAACATCCAAACAATACAAATTTTACAGAAGAAATAAATTGAAAGTAATGGAAGAGTTAGATAAATTTAAAAAAGGCCCAGAGAAACATTTTCAAAATCAGTAACTAAACTAGTCATATAATATTCCAGAGAAGACTGTCTGGAATGACAAGTCTCACAAATTCTGCCTAAACAGAGAGGGTTTAAACAGTTTGATAATGATTTAAACACTCAGCTATACTCACAGATTAACAAGCGCAGGTACTGGTAATCCAGGTCAGTTTTGTACCTTAACTTGAATTCCCTCCTTGTCTACCAGAGTAGGGAAATAGGGAGGAAGAGAAGCAGAACGAGGAATGGAGGGAAGTGTTAATTGTCAGGTCCTTCGTCAACTATTTTACATATTTACCCTGGAAACTGGGTCTGCCTGTGGCTTGGAGACAATAATAGTGGAACACAGAGCTGACAGTGTGTGTACCTCATGAGAACAGTCTATTGTGTGTGCAGATCAGATTTTCTAAGCTTACACAAAAGACTTGCATTCCTCTCCTTAGGAAGATAAAGAGGTACCCTTGGTGCTTTATAGGAGTTTATTTACTGTTAGCAAAGCAGGGAACAGAAAGGCTGTGTTGCAGTTACTCTACTTGCTGGAAATCAAAGAAAAAGCTTAGTAGATTCAGGATCATACACAGGACAGGTTTCCCTTTCTTTAAAAAAAATTGTGTAATTTAAAAAATATTTCATTAATTTATTTTTAGGGAGAGGGGAAAGGGTGGATGGAGAAAGAGAGGGAGAGAAACATCAATGTGAGAAACACAGATGAGTTGCCTCTTGCATGTACCCTGACCAGGGACTGAACCCGCAACCCAGGCATGTGAGAACATGGCAGCCTTTTACTTTGCGAAATGACACCCAACCAACTGAGCCACACCAGTCAGGGCAGGTTTCCTTTTCTGTTAAAAGAATAACAATAGCAAGGAAAAGTTTCTCTCCCTTCTCAGAAAAGGGTGGCCTACCGGAAGGAGTGGGGTCCATGGAGAAGTCTGGACAGACCTGTGATAGCAGCTGCGCAGGACAGTGTGGAGGCAGCAGACAGAGGACCCAAGGTTAAGCAAGCAGCCCCAGTTACAGGTACCCTCCTCAGAAGCCACAGCTCCCATTCCTATGAACAGGAGATGAAGAGAACTTGATTCAAGCTCTATGCTAAGGTACTAAGAATACAACAGGAATCAGCATCTAGACATTTACAGAGCTTGCATTTAAGACAAAATGGCTGGTTAAGAGCAATGAAGAAAAAATGGAAGCAAGTCAACACTAGTCTGAGCTCAGGAAAAGGTTCTTTCCCCTAGTGGTGTAATGTCTGAGCAGGAGCTGAACACTGAATGTGAGTTAACCAGGAAGGGTGAGAAGGGAGCTATCTGGACATAAGAAACAACACATGTGAAGGCTCTAAAAAAAAATCCATCAACTTTAACCATACAATGAATGAGTTTCAATAAATGTATACAGCCCTGTTATCACCATCAAAGTCATGATATAGAATATTTCTATTACTGCAAAAATTTCCCTGAATGGTCAATCCCTTTCCTCTATCACTAACCCTTGGCAACCAATGAACTTCTTAGTTGTGTCTTTTCCAAATATTCATATAAATAAAATAATACAGCATGTAGTTTTTTTCATTTGGCTTCTTTCACTTGCCTTAATGCTTTTAAGATACAGCTATGCTGCATTCCTTTTTATCACTGAGTAGTATTCCATTGTGTGGATATACCATTTGGACATGTGATTCTTCCCAGTTTTGTGGTTATTATAAATGATACTAGTATACCTAGCATCCTTTCATACCTAGGAGTGGGATATCTGAGTTCTATGTTTAACTTTATAAGAAACTGTCAAATGTTTTCCAAAGTGGCCATACCATTTTTTTATTCCTACCAGTAATGTATGAGAGTTCCAGCTGCTCCACATTCTTGTGATTGCGATTTAATTTTTACCTATACAAGTGGGTGTATATTAGTATTTCACTGTAGTTTATATTTTTATTTGCTAATAACTAATGATGCTGAGCATCTTTTGTGGGCTTACATGCTACTCATATATTTTTTAGATAAAATAGATAATTCTCTTGCCCATATTGTCTTCTTGTTATTGAATTCTAATATTTGTATACCCTAAATATACATCCTTTATCAGACGTTTTGCAAGAATTTTCTCCCAACTGGTGGCTTGCCTTTCCATTTTCTTAACAGTGTCTTAAAAAAAAAAAAAAACCAAAAAAACTCTTTTACTGTAATATAATTTTAGATTTACAGGCTGCAAAAATAGTACAGACTTCCAGATTATTCTTCACCCAATGACAACATTTGGCATAACTATAGTACCGTTATCAAAATGAGAAAACTGATATTGGTATAATACTATAATCAAACTTTAGTCACATTTTGAGTTTTTACATGTCCTGACTGTGTACATGGTTCTGTGTAAATTTATCACATACATATATAAATGTTACCTCCACAACAATCAGGATAGAGAATTTTTTCATCATCCCAAAGAGAGTACTTCATGCTATCTTTTTATATAAGCATATACTTCTGCCAACTCCACCCTTGGCAATTACATTTTTCCAATTAAAAATTTTATACAATGATATCACATAATGTGGAATCTTTTGAGATTGCCTTTTCCCATTCAGTGTAATGTCCTCAATATCCTCCAGACTGGTGGTATATCAAGAATTTGTTCTTATTTTTATTGAATATTATTCTGATGTATGAATATAGCTTATTATCCATTCACCTGTTCGTATGGTCATTACAAATAAAGCTATTTACTATGAACCTCTATCAATTTTTGTGTGAAAATAAGCTTTAATTTCTTTAGGGTAAATATCCAGGAGAAGGACATGGCAACTGTACATTTTACATCGTAAGAAACTGGTAAAGTCTTTCCTACAGTGGCTGTTTACACTTTGTATTCCCACCAGAAATGCATGAATGATCTAGTTTTCCAATGTCCAATCAACACTTAAAGACAATGATTTTTATTTTAGTCATTTTAGCAGGTGTATAGTATCTCAGCAGGGATTTAATTTTGTATTTCTCTAATGGATAATAACATTAAACATCTTTTTGAGACTTTTGGCCAAGATAGAGGTGTAGGTATATATACTTTGCCTCCTTCCACAACCAAAAGAAGGCCAACAAATTTAAAACAAAAAAACATGAATTGCCAGAAAATTGAACTGTATGGAAGTCTGACAACCAAGGGGTTAAAGAAGAAACATTTACTCAAGGCAGTAGGAGGGACAGAGATGGAGAGCCAGGAGTCCCACATTTGCATGTGGATAAACTAGGAGGAACAACTAGAGTGTGAGGCAGACCACACAACACACAGTTTCAGTGAGGGGAAATAAAGCCTGAAAATCTCTGGCTCTAAAAACTTGTGGGGGTTGCAGCAGTGGGAGAAATGTCTAGACTCACAGAAGAGTTCACTGGAAAGACCCACAGGGTTCTAGAACATACACAAATCTACCCACCCAGGAATCAGCACCAGAAGGGACCAAGTTGCTTGTGGGTAGAGGGAGAAGTGACTGAAAGCTCGCTGAGAGTCAAGCAAGCAACATTGTTCCCTCTCCGATACTTCTCCCATATACAGTGCCACATGCAGCAGCATGGGTTGCCCCAGTCTGGCAAATACCTAAGGCCAAGGGGCAATACCTAAGGGGCAAACCCCTTACAACTTGTAAA